TGACATAACACTTGTTTTGTTTTTTTAGCTGCACTGGGTTTTATATTGTACATTTTATTGGATTTTTAGCACCACTTTCAAACTTTTGTATTTTTCATTTCCCAATTCAAGGGGTGTCTCTGGGCAAAGACCCTTTGATATGTCGTTTGTTACGGGGTATTTGAGTCCTGCGCCCTCCGGGCCAGAATGATGTCTCTTTGACGTGTCGATTGTATTGTGATTTTTGCAGGACTAGCCGGATAATGAGAGACTCTCTCTTAGACAGTTGTGGGCTAAATTTGCGTTTCTTTTGTGCCTGGTCTAGTTTCATTGGATCTCGGATGTACGGGCATTTGACAAAGATGCCTCCACGTTTGCAGTTGCTTTCCGAATTTTGCATCGTATGAAGACAGATTTGGCAGCGGTGTTCTATTCGCTTTTCTCTTCCACACCTCGTTGTGCAGGGTATCCTCGTTGCTTCGTTATGTGGAGGTTTTGGCACCTCTCTGTTCTTCTTTCTCTGGACAACTCATTTCTTATGTATGGCCCCATAAAGAAGTGTCTGTTACTACACTGGCCAGTCGGATCCGTTGGCTTTTGTCCCTGGAGGGTATTGATGCTTTTTTCGCAAGAAGATCTGTTGAAAGTTCTATTTTTGTCCCCAAATGCTGCATTCTCTATTGTCTCAGCATTAAAAATACAAAATATGAAGCCTCCTGTCGTGGTAAATTTGAAGATTATACCAACTTTAGTGTACTAATAATCTTCATTTTAATAATGACAGAAGGCGAGTATTTCCCCCTCCTTTTCCTCTCCCTTGCTTTTTCTTTGTGTGCCAACGTGTTACTTCCATTCAGACAGGTTCTTGTGTTCTGGTGGGTAAGTGGTCATTGCATCATTTGGCATACATGCTGTTTGTGGTTGGTTTTGTATATTGTTTCATTAGATTCATGTCCTGATATTTTCGTGGGGGGTGTGTTGTGTAACCCGTATTGTTTAGTTTCTGATATGCTCGGTTTAACACTTTTTTTTTTTTTTTTTTTACCCCTTGCATTTTTGTCACAATGTGTGGATTATCGTAGTTTTTGGTGTAACAGAAATTTGCATACTTAAATATATTTTGTAGGGCTTCTTCTGTATTTCCAATAGTTGTTTACTTTATCACTAAGCCTTTTTACGTTCTCTTTCAGTTTGATCCATTTCAGGATGTGTGCCGGCGATCCGTTCACTGGTGCCTTGGCCCTCATTTGCCTGTTCTTGGATTGGTGTTTTTCTGTCTGTTTTAATGTTTTACTTGTTTGTTTTTTACCTTTTAGGTGGTTTGTTGCATCTAGAAAGAGGATGTGCCTATGTGTATTGTAGCATATATACTCTTTACCTGTTTTTTGATTGGTTCTTGTTCTGTGTTTTCTTTACTGCTGTGGAGTTTCAGTAAAGAAAGTAATGCAAAATACTTGCCTCCTGTCATTATTAAAATAAGGATAATTAGTACACTAAAGCTAGTATAATCTTATTTTTTTTGTTATATTTGATAAGATCATCTCATGGTAGATGTTTATACCTAGGGGTATAAGGTTATACTTAGTCTCCTATTATACCTAAAACTGCTCAACGTGATCTCACACATTTTTAATCAATCAGTCTCGGCAAATTGAACCTAAGGGTATAATTATTATTATTAGCATTTCTATAGTGCTTACATATTCCAAAGTGCTTTACAAGGATAGAAAGGGGATATTTGAAGATGAATAAGGCAATGTTTAAACTAACTTACAGTTGAAGACATACCTATATTATATAATTCTCTCATTACAGTTTTGGACTGGAATGGCCTCTGATGTATGGATTAACAATTTGGTTAATGATAAAGCTAGTGATGATTGGGCTGATCCAGACTGCCAAATTCTATGTGTCCTTTTGCAAGAACAGAGGTTTTTATTTTTTTTTATTTTTTTATTTAATGTTTTATTTGTGCATAATGATAATGACAAACATGCTCAGGGAGCCCCAATAGCAGTCCTTGAGCTCATTTTCAAGCTTAACAATTGGAGCATTCAGAAAATCAGCACATTTTTTGTTTAGAACAGAGTTTTAAAACATAGTTTGGATGTTATGTAAATCCTGCCACTCTTTTCTGTGGCACCTCTGTTTTCTGTGGGTTGCACATCCTCTGACCTGTGCAGCAGAAGAAGGGCACCAATAATCACATGTGGTGATCATGCTCTTAGTTTACCTCCTTTTTGGTTTAAGTCTACATTGTTGATGTGAAAGAGTTCCCATCAATCATTAGCTATGATTAGCCTTAAAATTAATGATAATATGCAAATAGTATAAATAGCTGCAACTTTTAAACATTAATTTGCTTCCTTTCACATAGTCCGGTCTCCTTGGCTTAAATTATTTTATGGCTACCGGTAATGCCGGTGTTTGTAAATCACTACATACTGATTTATTCTAACAACCCCTTTGTGCTTTTTCAAATTATAATGAACAGTGTAATGTTACTTTGTCTTTCTTACAATTTGGTTACTGTATTGCTATTATTTGCCTTCTAAATAAGAATTAATAAAATGTAGTAGATTCATTTAAAGCCCTCTTCCTTACCTTTGTCTCTCTGGTACCCATTTCTGAAGAAGATGAATCTGTTTTACATTTCCTACAGGTACACAGCCTGTCTCAGTCGTTAAAATGAATTTAGATAGTCCTATATAAAAGTGCATCCAAGTAAACTGACATTTTCACTATAATATTGAGAGTGAATCTATAAGGGCTCTCTTTCTGAAGAATGAAGAAACCAGATTTTATTTGTTACCAATAATTCTACTAGTGCAGAGGCTTGTTGTTACTTTGGGCCCAAATTCCCTCTTTTATAGGTAGCTTGATATTGTTGGTATGACTGAGCTCCACAGTAATATTACCCCTAGTAATGTGTCTTCATTATTTTTATTAAGATTCATTATTTTTCTAAATTTCATTTTAGTTGTATAAATTGCTATTAGTAAGTCACCTAAAATTTCTCATGCCCATGGCCACACACCTATTCATACCCCTAAAATTAGTGTCCCTCTGTCCGTTTCAAATGTCAGGAAGTATGCTTATTCATATGCTTTATGCATTGATGGAACATCTCATTAATGATAACTGGTTCTCTGTATACATATTCCATAATACTTGATTCATATGAAGCAATTCCTATTTTTGAAATATCTACCTCATTTTCGAGCCGTGACCACTTTCTGATGTCCCATTTGTCTGTAACTGTGTAACAATCTTAGTTTTCAATGTAATTTGATTCACTATTAAAATTACTAAATATCAGTATGGGATCTAAAGTATAACTCTGCACACTGTATAATCAAATGTTTAGAATTCAAACCCTTAGAAATAGGGACTTTGAGGCTACTGTGCAAACAACAATAGAAGAAGAAAGGTGTTTATAGTTTCTGGTGATTTAAAAAAAAAAAAAAAAAAGGAGGTATCCTGAATTGTAATAAAGTCACCAGGGTGAATGTGTGAGGAATTTTAAAAATGTCTGCAATGTACATGTGTGTTATGGATCATTTGATATTCTGTGTTAATCAGTGTGATCCCATATTTACTCAATAACACATGCAATAATTTCTTGAAAATTGGAGATAGGTGAAAGCATATTCAACGGTGTTACATTCTGCTGCCAGTAAGCTACGTGATTTCCTCTTCTGATCAGGTGCCAGTCATATGGTGTCTGCTCAGCAGGCTTCCCTTACCTATCAGGCTAATAAGAGGTGATAGACTCAGCTGCCTCCCCACAAGACCCGGAAATTCACAGTGAGCAGGGTAAACACAAATCAGATCCATCGCTGTGCTCAAATCTTGCTTGCCTGTTTGTTCACCAGCCATACCAATTAGCAGGGTGATGGCATTTGCATTGCAAGTGGAAATGTTTTCCACTAGAAAATTCTTATCTAGTGATTGGCTGTTTGTTTTTTTGTTTATATTCTGTCAGTTGTCAAATACAGAGATTGTACTTGTGCTCAGTTCTTGCATGGGAAAAGTGCATTTACAATTACTTTTTTTCCCCCTACTTGCTTAATAACGTCAAACCTTGTTTTATATGCTTGTGCATTTTGCACATAGCAATCCCAATCAGTATTTTGTAGATGTTTTTGTTAATTAGAAACACATTAAAACAGTGATCGATAATATCACTAACCCAGTCCTACATTGTTTAGATCTATCTGTTTTGTGTTGTTCAATGGGTACATCCTCCTCATTTCACATACCCAATCATGTGGGGCAAAAAAGACCTGTAGAAGGAGGACAGAAAAAAACCACACACATAAAATTATTTATTTTGCTTCAGGAAAACACAATGCCTTCCTCCCCATAACAGTCATACATATTGTAATGGAGTGGTGTACACAGGTGGAGCTACCCTGCACACCGAGCATTCCTATCCGGTCCTGTTGTCTGTATGACCCTTGATTCCCTTTTAAGATTTAGCTGATCATGCTTCTTGTAGAACAACGGGTAGGCAACCTTCGGCACTCCAGATATTGCAAACTACATCTCCCTTGATGCTTTGTCAGTAATATGGCTGTAAGAGCATTATGGGAGTTATAGTCCACAATATCTGGAGTGCCAAAGGTTGCCTATGTTGTCTACCATGTTAGCATAACCTCAGCTTGTGGTTATCATATCGTGCCTGGTCGTCTCAATATCACACATTGGCACTAATTGGACCCAGTTTCAATAAGATCCAGTTTCGCCTGTAACCTTGCAGTTTCTGATGATATCTGATACATGATCTGACTCTAGAACTTAGAGGAGTAAACTAAGTGAGCAGAAATGACTGTCAGCACAGTTGGTAATAAGTAGCATATGGCACCTTAAAACAATACTCTCGGGGGCATGGCTGACTTCTGCTCGCAGTGGTCGCATAAAGTAAGAGCTCCAGTCTCCACTACTCTCCACTACTCTAAAAACGGCAGATAAAGCTCTTAAAAACAAGCATCTATTGGTGGTACACCTGGCTAACACCGATGGCACTAACCAAACAGCTCAAAATTACGAATCCGGTGCGTACAAGCAAAAAAGACGGCCAGCGGCAAAATCAAGATGGCTGCGCTATTGAGTCACAGTCACCAATGTCAGAGGGGGCTCTGGACTCAGACACTGTCCTCCCTGCCCTCCGCACTATGATGCAAGAACTGCAAGCCACGTGGCAGGCACCCTTCAGGCAACTTTCTGCCGACTTTCGCAAGAATATGTCGGAATTAGGCGGTCGGACGAGCCACCTAGAGAATAAGGTGGAAGAGCCTTGTGAGGCGCAAAATTAAGTAGTTGAGCGGCTACAAAAGCTAGAAGACCACCACGCGGTCTTCAAGCACAAGATGGCCGATCTGGAAGATCGTTTGAGGCGCAATAATATACGCTTTTGGGGCATAGCACACTCTGTCTCCGTGGAGGAAATGCCTTTGTACATCAAGACACTCTGCCACTGTCAAGGTTAATACTCCCCAACACGCAAACCAGGGAACAATAAAGGTGAACACAGATAGACGTATTACCGGACCTTAAAGTGGCCGGACTTAACGTAGGAACGAGGGAAGAATAGTCAAACACGCCAAGGTCAGGAATACAGAGATACGGAAAAGCGAAAGGTCAGGGAGCCAGAAAAGAGAATAACCGATAAACAAGCCGAAGTCAGGAATCAGAGAAAAGACAACAACTCAGAACGCACTCTCGGGCTATAATAAACCACAACAGGGTAAGGAAGTGATGTCAGAAGGAGGTTAATATAGGGCAAGGTGAATACTGATAGGCAGGGACAGAATTGAAGGAGGTATAAATAGATAGTGGCAATAGGCCACTATCTCTTTAAAATTGGATTCCACGTCACCCCTGCCGGCTACCCAGCGCGCGCGCACATCCCCTGGCGCCATCCCAGACGCCCGCCAGCGATCCACATCGCCCGACAGGAGAGGACGGACTGCGGGACCGGGATGGCGCGGGACACCAGGTATGACAGAACACCCCTGCCCCTGAAGGAACACCAGAAGGGCGAGAAGGAAACCTATGTGATCTTTTTCTGCAGGTAGCACGGTCCTCTAGGGTAAACAACAGGCACAGTCCTTTGGTTTGCATATAATTCAGGCAGTTTTATTGTCAAACTCCACCACAGCTACAGCAGCAAATGAAAACAAAATGTAACAAAATCCTATAAACAAAAACCTAGCTCGGTCTGAGCACTAACTGACATCAAGTTCCCTCTCTCTCAAGGGTTTAATCTATAACAAAAAAAAAAGTGGTTTCACCAACCTAGCTTCTTTTCCAGCTCTCAGCACTCCAGTGTTTCTGACAGCCTGCTGCTTCCCTTTTGCACTCCCAGTGCTCCAAGCCAGCCTTGACTGCTTACCTTTTGCACTCCCAGTGCTCCAAGCCAGCCTTGACTGCTTTCCTTTTGCACTCCCAGTGCTCCAAGCCAGCCTTGACTGCTTCCCTTTTTGCACTCCCAGTGCTCAGTCTCTTTGACTCTCTTACTGGAGAGAACAGCCTCACTCCTACCTGCTTCCAGGGAGGAAGCCAGCAATCCCTCTTCACCTGCCTAGCAGGGAGGGGTTTATTCCCACTGCTACAGCTGATTATCTGCAGCTGAGCAGTGGGTTGGAGACAAAAAACTCTGGCCTGGACATTATTTCCCCCAGTTGTGTATAAACTGAGGAGTGGAGCATTGGCCCACCCTGCTCTCCAAATGCTCCACCCCAGGGGCTCATAACTAAACGGTGGATTGTGTTGCCTACAACACAAACTACACATACTCCCCCTGGGGTTAAATGTTATAGGCCTATCTGCCTTCACTTTATCACACCTAGCATGGAACGCCCTAAGGAGTCGGGGCGCATGGACCTCAGAAGCAGGAACCCATGAGCGCTCCTCTGGCCCATAACCTTTCCAATGAACCAGGTATTGAAGCGAACCCCGGGAGATGCGGGAGTCGACAATATGGTGGATCTCATACTCCTCTTGACCATGAATCAAAACAGGAGGAGGACGAGGTTGGGAACGGGAATGACTGTTGCATATAAGCGGTTTCAGAAGGGACGTATGAAAGACGTTGGGCACACGAAGGTTTTTGGGCAAATCCAAAGCATAGGAAACAGGATTGATCCTTCGCAAAACCTTGTAAGGACCAATGAACTTAGGAGCCAACTTCATTGAGGGAACGCTTAAGCGCAGGTTACCTGTAGATAACCAAACTCTATCACCAGTAACATAAGAAGGTGCCACCCTACGGTGCCTATCAGCAAAGGTTTTCTGAGTACACAAAGTCTTCTCCAATATGGCATGAATCATTCTCCAAGTGTCATGTACCGTGGATAAGTGTTCATCTAACACTGGCATTCCCTTGTGAGAAAACTAAGCTGGAAGAAGATTAGAATGACAACCATACGTTACAAAGAAGGGACTGTGACCAGAAGCAGAGTGCGTAGCATTATTCCTGGCGAATTCAGCCCAAGGAAGAAGGTCAGCCCAGTTGTCCTGGAGTTGAGACATAAAACAACGGAGATATTGTTCAAGGCTTTGATTAGTCCTTTCAGCAGCACCATTCGTTTGAGGATGATAGGCTGAAGAGAAGGCGAGTTCAATGCCCATGTCTTTACAAAAACCCTCCAAAACTTTGAAACAAATTGTGAACCCCTATCAGAAACAATGACGTCTGGCATTCTGTGTAGGCATATTATTTCCTTGGTGAATATACTGGCTAATTCAGCAGAAGAAGGCAATTTTCTCAAAGGTACAAAATGCGCCATTTTAGAGAAACGATCAACTATAACCAAAATAACAGTAAAACCCTTAGATTGTGGCAGCTCGACTATAAAATCCATAGACAGATGAGACCAAGGAACTAACAGCAAAGGAAGGGGATGAAGAAGTCCACATGGTACTTGATGAGAAGGTTTAGATTGGGAACAAACGTCACACGACGATACGTAAGCTTCAACTTCCTTTCTAAGAGATGGCCACCAATACTGTCGTGTAATTAAATCAATGGTCTTAGATACCCCCATATGTCCAGCCATTTTACTGTCATGGTAATGGCTGAATACTTCCCCTCTCAGCTCTGGAGGCATGTAGAATTTATCAACAGGCTTATCACTAGGTGCCCTATCTTGGACCCTTTGGATTTTGTGCAGAAGAGGGGAAGAGACCCTGGTTCTAGTCAAAGCAATGATTCTCTCAGGAGGTATAATGGGTTCTGGTATGACCTCCTCTTTATCAAGAGTGGCAAACTGTCTGGAAAGAGAATCTGCTTTGGTGTTCCGATTACCCGGTCTATGAGAAAAGAATCCACAAGGATGCAACAGAGCGGTAGGAGATTCCCTCTGGGAAAGGATTGTCCCCACACCGGTCTCGGAGGCATCAACCTCAAGGATGAAGGGTGTCAGGATTACTGTTTGATCCAGCACGTAGAACTGTACAGCACGGATGACAAATAAGTAACGTATTACCGGTCCTTAGAATGGCCGGATTTAACGTACAAAGAATAGTCAAAAATACTAGCCGAGGTCAGGGAAGACAGAAAGGGACACAGCGATGAGGAAAGCCAGGAGTCAGGATACCAGAATATAGAGAAGTCAATAAACAAAGCCAAAGTCAAAAACCAGGTAGAAAACTATAAACAGGAACGCGCTCTCGGACAACCACAAGGGAAACCACGACAGGGCACTGAGCAGGCTGAGAACTGGGCCTAAATACCCCTCCTTTAGTTCTGATAGGCTGTAACCGGCCTTTGACCCCAAAGTCAGTTACCAGGTTTCATTTGCATAATTGCTGCTCAGCATTAACCCTTCTGTGGATTAGGTTGCTGCTCGGCACAACTTTTCCTGTGTGGACAGTAAATGTCATTAATCACTTTTCTCTAAGCGGATGAATACATGACACCAGGTTTCATTTGCACAATTACTGCTCAGCATTAACCCTTCTGTGGATTAGGTTGCTGCTCGGCACAACTTTTCCTGTGTTGACAGTAAATGTCATTAACCACATTTCTATAAGCGGATGAATACGTGATAAAGGGTCTCTACGGGTCTAGATGTACCAGGACAGGAGCTGAGGCAAAAGATTTCTTCAAAAGAGTGAAAGAAGCTTTGGCTTCCGCAGACCAATCGACATGATTAGCTCCCTTCTTGGTCATAGCTGTGATTGGTGCTAGAATCTGGGAAAAGCCCTTTATAAATTTTCTATAATAGTTAGCGAATCCAATGAACCTCTGTATGGACTTTAAACCAATGGGTAAGGGCCATTCAAGAATAGAAGATAGTTTTTTAGGGTCCATTTGAAATCCATCAGTAGTGATGTCCCGAACGGTTCGCCGCGAACAGTTGGCCGTGGACTCATCATTGAGTAAACTTTGACCATGTACCTCACAGTCAGCAGACACATTCCAGCCAATCAGCAGCAGACCCTCCCACCTCCTGGACAGCTCACTAAGAATGCAGCTTCACCATGAATGTAAAATGGATGCTGTCCAGGACGTGGGAGGGTCTGGGAGGGAGGGTCTGCTGCTGATTGGCTGGAATGTGTCTGCTGACTGTGAGGTACAGGGTCAAGGTTTACTCAATGATGAGTCCGCGGTGAACCGTTCGCGGTGAACCGTTCGCGAACCGTTCAGGACATCACTATCCATCAGTAGAAATTATATATCCTAAAAACTGAATAGAAGTCTGATCGAACAGATATTTCTCAAGTTTGCAATGTAAGCCATTAGCAAGAAGGGTTTGTAAAATATTTCTAACTTGTTGGTGATGTATCTGAATATTAGGAGAATGAATAAGACATCATTGATAAATTCTTGGAAGACTGCCGGGGCATTACATAGACCAAAGGGCATTACCGTGTACTCATAATGACCGCTTCGAGTATTAAATGGCGTCATCCATTCGTCTCCCTCTTTAATGCGAACTAGATTGTAGGCTCCTCCAAGGTCTAATTTATTAAAGATTTTAGAACCACGAAGCCTGTCAAAGAGCTCTGTGATCAGTGGTATAGGATACGCATTTTTTAGAGTAATTTTATTCAGACCCATATAATCTTTTTGGCAACAAAAAAGAAACCAGTCCCTGCAGGGGAAGAGGAACATCTGATAAACCCCTTACTTAGTGATTCTTGTACATATTCCTCCATAACCTTATTTTCATTTTGAGAAAGAGGGTAAACCCTCACCTTGGGGGGCATGGTACCAGGGAGGAGTTTGATAGCACAATCATAAGGCATATGTGGAGGAAGACGGTCTGCCTGTATTTTGTCAAAGACCTTTGCCAGGTCTTGCTACTGA